TAGTCTATTAATTTCTTGTTTATGATTTTGTAAAATATTGATATAAAATTTTACATTCATAATTTCTTTAAAACAAAAAAGAGAAGTTTTTCCTTTTGTACAAAATTCTCCCCATGCAAAGATTTTAGTATGATCTTTAGGCATTCTTTTAACTAGTCTTGTACCTTTATACCATTGAGTAATTGTATTTCTGAATAGTTGAAATGCTATTTCATTAGAAAATAATGTTTTTTCCAGTTATCATCAAAATGTTTTTTTGCCCAAATAATACGAGCTTCTTTATGAGCAGTAGTAAGCATAGGTGTTTCTAAAGGTAAATTATTTTTGTAATCCATATTGACCAAATGTCTTAAAATTGTTGAATGTGATACTTTGATATTAATATTTGATAATTTAATTGTCAAAGTTCTTGAGGAAAGTTTTAAATTATAATGTAAATATTGACCAATTGCTTTTGATGCATGTGATATAATCTTTTTAGGATGACCACTACTAGATTTTCTTGCAATATTGCTTTTTGAATTCAATTTTTTGAGATTGTAATAGATAGTTGACATATTTATGCCAGTTTTAGAGTATATTTCATATGCAGAAGTAATTCCATTATTCCACAAATGTAATATAGCTTGTCGTTGAGTATTTTTTTTAGAAAGTAACATTGTAAAAATAAGTTTGTAATAAAAATAAAATGATCAAATAATTTTAAGTACCTATATATATTGTTTGAAATAATATTGTTTGGAATATGTTGTTTACATATTTAAAATTTCATGTGAATTGCTTTTGTTTTAAAAAAGTTATATGTGTTTATATTATATAAATAATATTCCAAAATTTTTTGCACCATACTGTATATGCAAGTGATTTACTGTTCCTTAAACGAATTACATAATACAGTATTGCAGAAATTTAACACATTTTCATTATTATTTTTATGTACTAATACAAATTTTGTTATGACTATTTTGTTCTTTCATATTGCCAGATTGGAATGGTTTCGGAATTTCTTTTTTTATTTGTTGATAACTCACATAAATTCGTTTAAATTGGAACTTCTTTTTTATTTGTAGATTGTAAGTCAATTTTTGTATATTATTTATTTTTCAAACTTTTATATTGTATGTACAATATTAACTTATTGTAACTTTATAGGGATAATATTGATACCAGAGTATTGTCGGTATTAGTTGATAAATTTACACGAAGCGCATTTTAATCTTATTATATGCTTTAAAATAGAAATTAGTAAGTTTGATCAAGCCTTTTATAGTTATCAGTTTAATTAGTCTACATGAAATCCGGTTTAATTGTAATTCTATTCTTAACACTCCAGGATGTAAATTCAATTCATATACCTCAACTTTATTATTTACGCCAATTATTTCATTATTTCATTAGTTTTATTGGTTATGGTGAATCAAATTTTACCAATTTTCCATAGAAATTATATGAAATTTGTTTTGGTCATTGTGTAGGAAAAACGTGTAATCAGTGCAAAAAAAAAAAAAAAGAAAGAACCACAACTCCTTTCTGGTGTCATCCGTGAAATCTTGCTCGTTTTGAACAAGAATCTCGTCTCCGATAAGTGGAAACTATATTGTCGACGCATTTATAAAGGAGGTGCAATTAATGACAACCAATTCATACAAAAATACTTGAATGGATTCCGTATTTTAAATTTAAGAACGTACCGCCTATTGTCGAAGGCGGCTTTGAAAAAGTATATTCTGCTGAATGGATTGAAGGAAACATCCTTTACTGAAATATCATAAAAAATATATGGGAAAGGACAGGTACAATTAGAGTTGCTCTAAAATGTCTCAACGGTTCACTGAATGTCTCCTCTAAATCATTGGATGAGGCAATTGGTTATTGGGCATTGGTTGAATTACAAAACGCAATTTACATAACAGACCTAGGCTTATGCAAATCGATTATGGAATACTGTATAATGGTGACGAAGCGGAAGAGTCAAAAGTGTACGGCGTGCTTCCATATGTAGCACCTGGGGTTTTACATACAAGAGATTTTCTAAGAAAGCGGATATTTATGCTTTTGGGATTGTTGTATCTGTATTTTTAACCGGAACTCCTCCTTTCAACAATGTTCACATGATTACGAATTGGCATCCCAAATTTGCGACGGGATCCAGCCTAAAGTCAAAAACAACAGCCCTGGTTCAATAAAGAATTTGATAAAAATATGTTTGGATGCTAATCCACAGGAGAGATTAAGTGCAAATGAACTGAGAAATATCTTCTGTATAATGCGTGATTATAAGCATTGGTCAAATTCAGAATTTGCTAATGAAATTAAATAAAGCAAAAATATGGCACAAGATTCTTTGGTCAGCAGTATAACTCATTCATTGGCAACATACTGTATATGAGTAAACTTCTTGATTTTAAAATCTTTCAATACCAAAAAATTTAATAAAGACTTTTGGTAAGTAACAATTCCATTCTCATCGTGATGGAGGGTCGATTGCCTTTTTAGGCCTCCTTAATTATAGATCCACTTTGCGTCGTTGAAGTAATCGTTCTTTACTCCCTATCAATATTATTAGAATTAACTGTAAAAACAAATATTTGCATAGGTGTTTTTTAAGCTCCTGTCATTCCCCAATAGTTTGTGCTATCATCTCAATTATATATTGTGACTTTTATTTTTGTATTAACTAATACAAAAAACTGAAGAAGGTAATCAATTTATTACAAAACAGATTTGTCAAAAAAATATTGTTTATAAAATAAAATAATATTTTTAAAAAAATTTATATTTTATTCTTTTAAAAAATAAAAATCCGATTTTATGGAATTCTATTTTATTTAATTTTCTTAACAATGCATTTATTAGGATGATTCAATTTAAATATACTATAAAATTTTAAAAAATATCAAAAATCCAAATTGATTTTTTTATCACTGGACAAATGGTTTAAACAACAAATAACTTTTGTAGAAAATCCAAATTTTACTTGTAAAAATTCAATACATAGGTAATTTAAAACGCATTAAACAATATTGATTAATTATAGATTGTTTGTTAAAAACCTGATTTTAAAAGTTACATTAATATTAAAATTAAAATATAAACCAGAAATGTTAATAATAAAATATTGTTAAAATCAATGAAACATTCATTGTATATAGAATTAATTGCCTAGATTATATTCACTCAATATGCAAAAGTAAATATAATTAATAATATAAAAAGTTTAAAATGTGTAACTTTTACATGTAAAAAAAATTTCGGAATTTTTCGAAATCTCTCGAAATCTCCTGTGTTTTTTACGGAATGAACTGGGACACAGAAAATTTTATGATCGTACTGTAACTACTTTCATTTGCAGTGATGCTTTGATACACAATGATTATAATCACGTGATAAAGGGAATCGGACTCGGAACAGCAGACTCAAAAAATCGACTCCATCGAGCTTTTAACATTCCTATATACAGTACACAATCCATAGGTTACGTGAGGATCTCGAAACTCGAGTTAGCTGATTTATGTAGTCATTCGATTCTACAATCATACGGCACTATCACGCCGTTTAAAAAAAACAGCTAACTTCTAAAAATCAGGAAACATACATTAATCTCTATAGCAGTATTTTCCTATAAAATAGATCTGTAAAATAATATCCAGTTTAAAAAAGATAATAATGAGGTGCATTACTTTTGCTTTTATTATAACCTGTCTCATCTCGGTCAACATAGTGCTATCTATTAATAGCATCAACGACCTCAACTCCCAGGAACGTAAATGGGTAAATTGAATCAAAAATTATACAGTACCAAACACTAAGACGAAAGATGGGCTCCCATGGAGCAACAATAATCTCTGGTCACAAGTTGTCAGTGATCCCAAAATAAGTCCATCTGTTTATGCGGTGGCTGTGGGAACTTGGTGGTCGTTAAGCGAGGATATTTTTGATGTACCTTACAGTAATTTTAGTTCATTAGGGGTTCCCAACTTTGATGGATACTTGTTCAACTACAATTTATGCACCCAGATGGTAGGTGGTAAACCAAAACATAACTTCATGATAGGCCCGAACGTTGTATGCCTCGAGGATGTTCCTGCTCCAACGTGTGGAAGCTGTTCAAACTGTGGGAGCTGTTGGCAGAATGGAATATTTGGTATGGAAATGAGTCATTGCACCGCTGTAGAAGTTGCCACGGCTGCCGAGAAAATCTACAAAGGAAAGACATATTGGACCGTGATCAAAGATACAATGAATCTTGCGGGCTTTGGCCCTGGTAGTAGCGTATACAATAGTGTACTTAGATGTTTTCCAAATGATAAATCAGTTCCAGCCAAAGACTTAAGCATGGAATGTGCAAATTTGGTGAAGATATGGCTTGTCAGGAATCACCTTGTCGGACTATCTGTTGCTGTAAGCGACAATGAAGCATGCCTAAAATCATCTTCCAAATATCCTGGGTATTGTATGAGCGATAAGAGATTCTCTGATGGATTTCCAGGTGTCAAAAACACTATAAACATTCTTGCCAGATATTTTTCGAACAAATAAATTTCCAAATATAAACAAGATTAAAAAGGGTTTAATTATTACTTTTATTATTATGAACTTACAAAACGATTAATCGGATCAAGATAGTTATTATCTTTATAAACTAAATAGGGAGGGTCACTTCATGTATAACCATTTATATTTATATAAATAAACTTATAGCATTAGCCATTAAAGTTAATTTCTCGCGTCCTAACATTCTGGTTCCGTCCTAGTAAAAGTTAACCAGTATAGAGAAAAGTTTTGAAAATATTTTTATCTTGTTCTTCTATAGTTGTTGTATTTCCGTCAAAGTTGTCACGGTTAAAAATATAATTCTAGGAAAAAATATAACTTTTTCCTACGGTACGATATATGCCTCATATGTACCCTGTACTGTATATACGAAGTATACCTTATGTACGTATTGTTATCGTCACCGGCGAGTCTGTCGCTAAAACGGTTCACTCTTCGCGTGACGATAGTCCGAACGCTTGGATTT